GAGGTAGGAACCATCCTCAACGATGTTTCAAATGTTTAATTTGAAAAGAGTAATAAAGGCCTTAATAATGATTAAATAATAGGGTGGTCTGCTCTCTTTGGTATGTGATATTGTAAATGGCTAAAAGAACCTATCAACTGCTTTGAAAGAAAATAAAGATAAGAATATATCACAAATATAATTTGCCATATTTATTTGATTTTATACATGTTTGTAGTTGATTAATAGATTAGAAACTTTGCAAATTAGTTAGCTATATATTGCATGTCATAATAACTTATGGTACAAGTTAATGATGTAGCTCACATATAAATAACTTATCTTACAAGTTAAGATACATATCTTACAAATTAAACATGTATTGGAGGTCTTATAGAATGTTGCTATGTAGCTCTTAATTAGATAGTATACATGGATGGAAGAATGAAGTCTTCTTCATTTTTTTCAATAACTTTTTAGTTTTTAGTTTTATTTCAAGTCTTTTTAATCTTTTTGTTTTTGGCAATAGTCATTTTAGTTTAATATTATACCATCTTTGAATGATTTTTAAGTCTTTTTGAATGACATAAGAATATATTGATTTTTTAGTTCTCCGAAATTCATATCTTTAATAAGACTAGATGACAAATTTTACCTAGTTGCTTTTCATTTCACAAATTTTCATCAGCAAAAATCAACTGCAAGATCTAAGATAAAAAACTTCTTATAATTTTGGATTTATTTCAAGAATACACCATTATTTAGAAAGAATTTTAAATTTAATAATTATTTTTATATATCACAAAGATTTTAAATACTTTATTTCAATATATGTTTTGAATTATTCATAAATATATTGAAGTATGTTCTTATCAAGATTTTATTGAATATCACTTATTGATTAAGAAAATAATTAGATTTGTCAAAATTCTATTTCAAACTTTCTTATTTTATGCCAAATGAAAGAAATGAAACTTTTAATTAATAAAAAATAACTCTCTTGGAGCTAGAAGAATTTCATTTTTGAGTAATGAAATCAATAATAACTATTAATTTAATATTTTTTCTAAAAAATTAGTTAAGTATATTTTGTGATTTTCTTATTTGTGATATTAAAAAAAAAATCTTTTAAATCTCATGATGCTTCTAAGTTTGAATATTAAAATAATCTACTTTATTTCAAAAAATACTTATATATTCCAAAAGTTGAAGTAAGATTAAAAATTCTTGAAGCTTGTCATAATTTTTTAATTATATGATATTTTAGATACATTTCTTTTTTAAATTTACTATAAAAAGTTTTTTGGTGGCTTAAAATATGAAAGGTAGTTAAAGACTTTGTACAATCATGTAATATTTATTTTGGATCAAAAACTCTTTGTCATCAATCTTATAAACTTTTATAACCACTATCTATACTAAAAAAAACCATGGTCTTTTATTTTTATAGATTTTATCACATATCTTATAATCTCAAGTTCATGTGACTCTAAATTTTTTATAATAGGTTGTTATATTAAGATGTCACTTTATATCTTATATAAAATCTACCATATGTAAAGAAATAACTAAACTTTTTTTTAATAATATTTATTGCTATCATAGGTTGATAATATATATTATATCTAAAAAGAAGAATCTAATTTTTATAAAGGATTTAAAGAATCATTTTTAAGATATTAAAGGTGGATATAAAATTATCTTTGGCTTTCTATCATCAAACTGATAGATAAATCAAATAGGTGAATGAAATTTTGGAGTAATATTTGGAATGTATTATCAACTATAATGAAGATGTTTGGAAATTTTTTTTGCTATTGGTAAAAATTTCTTATGACAACACAATATATTTGTCTAATTAATAAGTATCTTTTTTTTATTAATTATGCTTATTATTTACACTTTAATACTTTTGACTTTTCAAAAATTGATAATCTTGTAGTAAAAGATTTGACAAATTATTTATCAAAGTTTTATGCAAGAATGAATGTATAATTAAAAGAAGCTTTAAAATGATAAAAGATAGGCATTACAATACAGATGCCTATCACAAAGAACATCCTTAATTCTACATTAGCAACAAGATGTAATTTTCTTTCATTATAATGTTAGGCTTAGCTACCTCAGTGATAATTCGGATTATTTAAGATTTGGACCATTTTTTATTTATAAATAGATTAATTAAATTGCATATTAATTATATCTATTAGAATCTATAAAGATCCATCATGTATTCAATATATCACTTTTTGATTCATATAAGATAATGGATATATTACAAAAAAAAATACATGCCACTACTTCCTACAAAAGTGAATAATAATCAATAATTTGAGGTTGAAAAAATCTTAGATTCAAGGAAACATCAACTTTGGTTGAAATATCTTGTTCATTAGCACATAGATGATATTGGTGAATGTATATAGGAGCTAACAAAGAATCTTAAAAATACAATAGAGAAGGTAAAAGCTTTTCATCAATAACATCCATCAAAATCAAGATGAAGAATTAAGAAATGCATTGCTATAAAAAAAATGATATTTAGTAAAGATTTTATTCTATTCTCTATCTTTGATTGTGGCTTTTTTGTATTTGTGGCATTAGAAAGATAGAAAATCAGCAACTAGAAAATTCAATTCAAGACCTATTATTTGCTGAAATACAAAAAAAATATTATAATGTAATATTTCAAAACAATATGATAGAAATAAAGACCTTTAAGAACAACATGTTCTTCCTCAAATAGATGGCAAGATATAATGTATTTGATATCATGACACTGGAAGATACTTCTAATATTTTTTAATTTTATTAAAGGTGGAAATCACTCTTTGTAGTGGTCTAAATATTTTATTTGATAGAAATTATAAAGACCTCAACATTGATCAAATATCAGGGTGGTCTTCTTGTCCATGTAAGATACACTATCAATAATTGACAAGACCTATCAACTGCCTTCAAATAGAATAAAGATCATAGTATGTAATAAATCTAGTTTATCGCAGTTTGAACTTCTTCAACATATGATTACTGCTCTTTGTGGAACTCATCTTTAAAAAAGAGGTAATGCCATGGACATTTATATTTATTCTAATAATTATCTAAATAATATGAATATATAAAAATATATAAAATTTAATAAATTTGATAATATCTTATGCATAAGCTTTTTAGTAGCTTTATAGATACGATTTGCCTTCATATATATATATATATGATTGATAGGTTAAAAACTTGATCAGCTAATTTACTACTTGTGGTATAAGTTGTACATGTGCCGTATATATAAGAAGCCTATTTTGCAAGTTAGACACATATCATGCAAGTTGAATACATATTTGAGGTCCTATAGAACATTGCGACGTAGTTCTTAGTTAGATAGTATATATAGAACCAAGAATGAGGTCTTTTTCACTCTTGTCATCTCTTTTTTTTAATTCTAATCTAGTTTATAGAGTTTCTAATATTTTAATATTTGACAGCACTCATTTCAATTTCTTCTTTCATATACATTTTTATTTTTATTTTTATTTATTATCATTTGTATTAAAAAAATATTTTATTTATTTTTATTTATATTTTTTGAGTTCTTATCCTTGACAAAGTTTCATTATACGCTCTAACAAACAATAAAAAAATCTTTTTTTATCAACATAAGAAAGTAGCTTTTAATTATTTTTTGAATTATTTCTCAAATTATTTTAAGTTGTAGTAAGTATCTTTAATATGGTTAAGTAAATGTTGAATTTAAAAATAAACTTTAATCATAAATATATATATATATATATATATATATTTATTTATTTATTTATTTATTGAATTTAAAGAAGTAGATAGAAATTAATAAATTTCATAATATCTTATAAAAAAGCTTATTAAAGGCTTTATGGATGTGGATTTCACTTTATATGTATTGTAGGTAATAAATAAATTGAAACTTGGTCAACAAGTTGGCCATATCTTACTAAAAAGTAGTTTTTAATTTTGTAATTGGAAGAAATAATTAAAAACTACTTTTTAGGTTTAAATTTAAATCTTTTGATAGTTGGTATAATAAAGGTCATACTGCTTTCTTTTAAAGCAATAACAAAATTTAGTAAAACTTTATGATCAATATTTTTAATAATTTTTCAGATTTATAGTTATATACTTTTAAATATATATATATATATATATATATATATATATATATATAATTTTTTTAAAATCTTATAATATAATGTTAATAATCAATTATTTTATAAATTTTTTTAAAAATCTATTTTATTTTGCTATATGCTAATTAACTAAAAAAAAGAGTGTTAGAAGAAGTGCTTAGCATGTTTAAAACCATAAAATTATAGTTATAAAATTTGTGATTTTGGCATTGCAATCCAAAAGTATAAAAATCTAAATATTATAATAATTTCATAAATCATAATATTTGAAAATTGGTACTATGAATTTGATATTTTTTCATCTATTATTAAGTTGTATAATGTACATTTAAAAAATTTATTTAATTTTTGTAGATTTTAAAATCTTAATTTAAAAAAATGATTTGAAATTTTTGGTTTTTATACATTTTTTGATGCAAACAAGATTCATTTATTGCTTGGATTTTAAAAAAATCAAAAAAAGATAGTCCACATTTTAATTTTTTTAAAAAAATAAAAAAAATAAATAGAAACTATATATGATCATACAATTAATGTTTATCTTGCATCATTTTATGTCTTCAATTGAACATAAAATGAACCTAGTACAAAAGACTTTACATAATTAAGCAATTTTTTGCTATAATTTAAATCATATGTTTTGATTCTTCATACAAGATATGCATCGTCAAATATAATATAATAAAATATATTCTTTTGACAACATAATTTTTTTTGTAAAATCTTTTTAATTTATACTAAAATCCTACAGTCTTGGTCAAGTTGGTTGTTTTGTGTGTTTGTTACTTCAAAAATCTTTTTCACAGATAGAAGCATTTCTTTATATCCAAAATTCTCCAAAAGATGCATGTTTGAATATTGGAATTGTCAGTAATGAAATGATGTGATACGTATAAATGGGGGATACATGTATAGGCGCAGCAAAATTTCTAAAATAAGTGCTGCAGAAACCTACAGCTAACATTCATACGTCTGGCAACACTAAGTATTGTCTCTTTGAGACACATGGTCACACCTGAATCTCCCTAAACGTTGCCACAGCTGAGTTCATCAAAGGAACTGGCATACTGATCAAATGTCTACCACTGCACAAATGTTGTACAATTGAATTGATAGTCTCATCAAACGCTTTCCACTTCATCACTTCTTCATAAACTTCGAAGCGTAATGTAAACCAGCTCCAGTAGCCTGTATCAAAAACCGTACAAATTAACCACTTGATAAATTTTCACTGACCGATCGCATGAGTAGCCTGAAAGCTTTAGGATCCCACATTTCTAACGGAATGCGAGCACAAGTACACCCATCTAAATGCCTAATAGAGTATTACCTAAAACTGCATCAAAAGAATGCAAATTGAAGAACATTTTTAGTCAGAAAAAACCCTCACCTGCAACTCAATCATGTGGATGGAGGAGTCGTTAAGAATATAAAGCTTGTTGAGTTTTTCACCGGCGAAGCCTAGGTTGACGACGTCCGGAAGAGCAATTAATCCGAGCGGTTTTCCTGATCGACTGAACACTGCACCAAGACGAAAACAAGATAACGTAGTTTTTCAGAAAGAGGGAATTGTAAAAACATGCTACTCAGTGTTAAACAGGCATACAATCTGCACAAGGGACTAAGCAAATGAAGTGCTCACAGTTGAGGATGAAGAGTTGCCTACCTTGGACACCATCTGGCGAACCTATGTAAATGCGTCCTTTAGTGTCGACCTTAATGCCGTCGGGCAGTCCTAGCCCAGGAGCTGATCCGTCGTACATGCCTACAGAAGCAAGCAAGCGTCTGCTGCTGAGCATTCCATCCTCGCGAACCTTATACACATAAATGTGATGTCTCTTTCCTTTATCAAACTCTTCACTGCAGACGAAACAATCATGTTAGTGGTATTCGCAGTAAACAAAACTCACCATCTTATATGATGATTTTCGACATCTAGGTTCAAAGTGACAAAGGAGTAGCGAACAAAGGATACGGAGTTTTCGTGCGAAACCACAATCCATCCAGAGTACTTCAGACATATGAGGTAGAACATGGGAAGTGTTTGAATCAGGAGTGATAGTTAATGGAGGTGTACTAGTAGGGATAACTTGACATACCCCTGCAAGTAGCCAGTATCAGTCACATAGAGAAGCTTTTCATCCGGAGAGAAAGCGAGTCCGTTGGGTCGTTGAAAATTTGTTGCCATCGCATCCACCACACCGTCGAGGTTAATTCTGTACAACTGTCCCTCCACTTGTATTTCGGGTTTGAATCCTTGCGCCCTGTCCACAGGTACTATCCCAGTGAGATTTCAAAACTGGAATACAGGAAGCGAAAGCCTAATTTTCAGCCTTCGGCAGAGATCTCGATGGCAAGTTACGACGATTACAGACGATCATTAACCCGTGCCGAGAACCAATCGCCAGGGCTGAATTAAAGACTCTGATGTGTTATCAGTGACTAACATGTCATTGCAGAAGGTGCACGAAATTACCATGCGTAGATAGGGTCTGTAAACCAAATCGTGCCATCGCTTTTGACCACGACATCATTTGGGCTGTTGAATGCGGCTCCAAACCAATTGTCAGCCACTATACTCGTTTCGAGAGTCTTCACGTCCACTCGTTGAATGTAACCTGGCTTCTTTCCTTGACCTTGTTGACAAATTAGTAGGTTTCCTTCCCTGTCCAGAACCATTCCGTTTGCGACGTCCGTCACGGGGAAAACCGTTGTTATTTCTCCGGTGTCCAACGAAATTTTCCTGACTTGCGTGTTCTGCTCACCAGCAGAGTCCTTTTCATCGCTCGAAGTTATCATACTCGTGTACCCAACCTTATGACGGGTGGTTGAGTAGTAAAACTCATTGTTATCGGGATGATAGACACCGCCTTCATGGGCATCTGTCTCTGCTACCAGTTTCAGTTCAGGCGCCGGTCCAAGGATTTCCAAAAATTCCGGGTCACGAACCTGCAAAATCATGTCTGTCAGTGACTTAGAACGAATCAAATTTCTAGGTTCATGCAGGAGTCATAACTTGTATTTGGGTCTGTACTTATAAGGAGCCAAAAATGTCATTACAGAGATAGTTGCAATCTCAATTTTAGTGACCGAGAAAGAGGCGAAGTAAAATCCTATTTCTTCTCTTAAAAACACACCCCTGACCAGATAACTGAGACAGGAAAAAATTATGTTCATTGGTGCAACCAACATAAAATGGTCTTAAAAAGTTAAACTCACTAGAAACTTGCAGTTGGGTTTGGATTGGCCTGTTGGGATGCCCTTAATTATGCTTCCCTGTTGCCACCAACATGCACTTGGTGGCAAAGGACACTCCTTCTTCGCAGCCCCGTGGATCCAGTTCAATTGCTTCGCCAGGAATTTTTCCCCATCATTGTCGTGATGTCCTTTGGGTCCAACAGTCAATCAAACCACTATCAGTATTTTTCAGTTCAACGAATCACACGAACGAAGAGTATTGATTCATGAATCTAACATCGGTTTCAAAACTCCCCATGAGCAATTAATGGACTCCAGGAATTTTTCCGTCCAAAATATTTTATGCAAGCCAACAGTTGCAACTATTTATTGAGAAGTCCAAACCAGACCATTAAGCAGAGCAATGTAATGCAAGGGCAAGTAACTAGCGATGCGCAAGAACCGTAGATGGATGTACGGTAGAATTCCCTAGACACGGGAAGGAAAAGAGGACATACTTGACCACGGTGCATTTGGAATTTGAGACAACCAAACAGAGAACACAGCCACAACTGTCATGGTCACCACAGTGAAGGGCGTAAACCCACCAGGATGCTGCTGGCTCTGGGCCGCTGCCGCTGCCCCTCTCATTGTGCAGTCGCTGCACTGCCAAGCAACACAAGTCTATTGACGTCAATTTGTCTACACGTTTGACGAGTTGAAACCCAGCCAGGTTTAGAAGAGAGTCCTGCCGTCAGAACACTGGTGATCACTGAAAAGAAGGTTACACCTCTAACACGAATTGTTGAATACATATTGGTGAACCACAAGTATTGACAGAGTCACATTTCATAGAACCAGGATTAACCCTATTCCTACATTCCAAAATAAAAATAAAAGACTGGAGATTGCGATCGAAAATGCCTTCGCACCTGCCCCCAATTATTGGAATAAATCCGCCAAGAATTTATGGAATCAATCCCAGATATTGAATCAAACGGATTAAAGCAAATGTGACGAAGAATATCAAAACCCAGCACTGCAAAGTGGTCTGCACAGCCTGAAAGATGAGAAAGTTGGAGAACTGAGATCACACCCACCGGCACAGAAAAATAATAATGTTGGGATTCAACCCAAAATTCGTGAAGCTCCAAGAGACAAATGCACAGTCAGTTCTCCGGCTGCAGTTATTGCGCCAAAACTCTCAACCACACTCTCCAGTGTAGATCCAACCACGAAGCACAGAACAACGTGCTCTAACTTCACAGCAGAGGGGCGATATAGCTGCCTCGGCCACAAGAGTCCAAAAAAAAACTTTACAAAAAGAAAGAAACAGAGTCTGTGGTTGCACACCTTCACCCACATGCATCGATCGATCGCAGCTTGAGAGCTAATTTGCAGCTACGAAGCCGAGCCCGAAGGAACTGAAAGCTTGGGCGGCCGAACGAAAAAAACACCGCGCAGCACGAGTTTCGACGACCATGGTGACGATAACAGCCGCCGAGACCAAAACTTCGTTCATTCCCCGTGGCAGCAAGAGCTTGACCGACAGCGTGGCAAGATGAGCTCGATAGTACCAACGCCAAGTGTCGAAAAATTAGAGGGAAGTTTGCATGACTGTTTGTGGTTCAAAATACGAAAATGTGGAGATATCCGGGCCCCTGCTACCACACCCGTATACCCGGATTAGAATGCCCGGAACCTGCTTGTGCTTCTCGTAAACGGGTGTCAATACCTGTGTTCTACATGGAGCGTATTAGTGCGCATACACTGTATGTCTCGCATTGGCAACTGGGCCCCTTCTTTGCGATTGCGACGCCGTGAATTTACGACGATGTGTGGGGCCAGAAGACACTCAATGAAGAAGTTCTCGCATCGATGCGCTGTCCATGAAGAGATTCACTTCTCAACCGACTCCGGAGACGGAATCATGAGAAGAAATGGTGTGGGAATGGTCGATTTTTCTCAAGATTTTGCTGCAGAGTCGGAGAATGTGGTTGGAGGGCTATGGTGATGTAGATGTGGATGTGAGAGTGGGATGAAGGTGGAGTGAGTGATGGGGGAAGTGAGGATGGCAACGTCGGAGCGTAATCCGCCCTCGCACCCGGAGAGATAGCAATGCAATGCAATTGCTACATCGCGGCGGCCTCTGCAGTCGCTGTTTGTTTCGTGGCATTTCGTGACCCGGACGTTTTTAAAAGACTGAGCCTGGGGCAATTGTAAGGCAGGGTTAAAATTTGGTGGAAGAGTCCATAGAGGAATTGCGGAGCATGCAGATTATGGTGTGTTTACTATCATGGAAGCTATCGGTAGGAAATTGAGAAGCCCGGATTTCAGACACGGTACTATGGGTCGGAGCCGGACAATGAGGAATTTGAAGAGGGGGTGGAGGATGGGGTTCGGCATGAGAAGTAGAAGGTGAAGTAGTTTAGGTTTAGGTGGAAATTGGACCCGCATGAACGACGATTGCTGAGCGGAGTGATTGCAGGCACTGTCTTGCGTACTGGCGTAGCTCCACTCGGGATGATTCAGACACGCTGGATTGTGGAGAGCCATGGCCATTCAGTCTCTGAGGTCTTCAGTTGGACTGTCACGAATGAAGAATGGCAAGGGTTATTTCGAGGCAATGCCATCGATGTGCTCAAAACTATCGAAGTAAGTGATATCTTTGCCTCTTATTACCGAATCATCTTGTTCTAATGGAATGCCTCATTTTACGTAAATGGGATGGCCTTCGAGGTTTCAGAATAAGACAATATATAATTTCTCTCAAAAGCAATTGTAAGGTGACGGGATGATGAGGATATTTTTGTCTTTTTGATGGATTTTGCAAAATTTATTGGCGTCAACCCTTGATAGTAGTGCAATTAATGTATTCAACTAGATATTTCAATGTTTGAACATAGACTCTCCATATGTCAGAGTTTGGAGACTTGACCGCGTCTTTTCTCGTATTTTGTAGCAGCTATTCGCTTTTGACCAAGTGAAGGGATATTTAATTTCAATTGAAGGGAGGGCTGGACCTCTACCATCGTTGCCAGTGTCACGTATTCCTGGGTTATGTGCGGAATTGTTTTCCACATTGTACACGTACCTCCTGTAGCTTTTGAAGACTCGTCCGACTATACAGTTGAGGAATTGCGTTCTGCCTACCTCAAAATGACATTTTCGAATTCAGATAAATTGGAACCTTGAAGGGGCATCCTTACCTGCTTGTGATCTCCGTTTACAAAAATTCTGATGGCGTTTATTTGTCATTTTCTTGCTCAACCGGATAAATATCGTGGCATTCTCCATGCATTTAATAGGATCATGATTGAAGAAGGGTTCCTCGAGCTGTACCATGGATTGACACCAAATAACATTGGAGTAATACTCTATGTTGGAGTCAACTACTTCGCTTCTGATAAATTGAGGTTCTTGTACAAGCGTCTGAGCCAAGGAGAACGGATTGGCAATATTCAGACCTTTCTCATTGTATTTGCAAGCACATTTCCGATAAAGGTGGACGGAAGAAAATGTAGATGGCCGTCGTCTTGAAAGACTTTCCCTTAATTTCAAGGGATGCTCTGGTCTTTCTTTTCCAACAAGCATTAGTGAATGTGTGTGGATATGTGTATATGTTTAAGGATACCAGCTTTTTACAGCTCCCATTGTATGCAATTGAAGAGAACGCCCTCTATGCAGTAACTTTGTAACTTGACTGATTTCCATCGAACTACGGGATCAACACTTGAGAATCTTAATTTGGTAACTTCTACGAACATTTTGGTGAACTATTGATTCCTTCGGTTGTGCAGGTAGAAGCAATTAAAGGAAGGGTTGTAAATTCCAACAGACTAGATGCCTTACAGGACATTGTTTGGGAGCATGGCATAAGTGGTTTATACAGAGCCTTGGGTCCCAGGTGTTTGAAATCGGTGCCTGTAGCTGGCCTCTCAATCATGTGCTACAAAGCATTGAAAGTGATTCTGTAAGAAAAAAACGAAAATAGTCCGTAATAAGATCTCTGCGCCTGGCAATGGAATTCAAGTTTCGTGTAAATGGCCTGATTGGAAATGATGTGGAACAGCAGCAAGATTTGCAGTTGGGCGAGTGGTATCTCAGCGTAATTGCCTCAACTGGGTCTTATTCTTTTTGCTGGCTCGAGCAAAAAAGAGCAGAATATTTTAGAAGTCTTCTGCTGTTTTTTTTACGCTGTAACTTCTGTCTCCAGCCATCCTTTCGAATGCTTTTCTGCAGTCTGCTACCTTGCTAGCAAATGATTCAATATCTCTGGTGCACCTTTCTTGAAGACCTTCCACCTGCGCCATTGTTTCTTGGTTGATTTTGAGCTTTTCATCAAATACTTGCATTTCATCAAACACAAGTATGTCGTCACCTTAGTAAACACTTTCACCGTAATATTCAGAGTCACCACAATTCCCGGGACCTGCTATATGCTTCAAGTTTGGACATTGAGCCCTGGATCTTGCTGCATGTAGACAATTGGCCTTGCAAGCATCGTCATAGCAAGGTTAATCCACCAACCTTAATTCTCATCGTTGCTGCAATGGTGGTGTCCAATTTTTCGGAAATGTCTGCAACTTTGCATGACACACTGCCGAGAAGTTGACCGCTAAGAAGTGGATCAGCCGCAAGCGTCTCCTCCCAATCCTTCTCATCGGCAGCCTTGTTAACCGGAGGTTGTGGCGAAGTTTCATTGAGATTCCCCTCCACTTTAGGTTCTAATAAAGTCTTATCATTGAAACTCAGTTGTAAATTCAACCCCTCCAGTACAGAATTTTTAAACTGGGTACTCTTGCAGAACTCCTGAAAACAGTTTTGTTGCAAAAAAAAATGTACTTCGTGGAGCCTCAGATCGTCTCTCACCTTTCCACTTCCGTCTAGTTCTGGTTCAGATTCCATCGCAGGTTCGTTAAAAGCCGCCCTTCTGATTTCGTGCCCTCCAGTGGTGAATCTTGACGTGAGTGGGGTGATGGTTGGATTGGATGTTCTCATACAATCGATGGCTGTTTGAGAGTATAATGTCAGGAGACTAGTTGGCCTCAACTAAGTGGTTACTGATACGAGCTAACAGGTAAATGAAACCCCCTGTAAAGTCTCAAAACAAAGGGAGGACCATTCATAACTTTGTATCCTTTTGAATCTGAGAGATTCGAAGTAATCCAGATTCGCAAAATCATCGTGAACGAGATTTAAAAGCGTTACGAGAAGCCTGTTACGTTGTTTCTGACATCGACCATACCGTGGTTGGAGAATATACTTATTATTACCCAAATCTTCCTACTATAATACCTTGCAAAGATTACACTTACTGCAGCATGAAATCTACGAGGAGAATCACTTGAAGATTAAGATATTATGATTTGATGCGAGTTATTCATTCAGATGTATTTCATCTTAAGATTGCTCTCTGCATAACATAAAAATTGCAACAATCAGCTCTATAGGCATGTTTCATGAAAATTGATTTTGTACATTATGAAATTAAACATAGTTTTGCAACTTTGTAAGAATTCTTAATGACATGGTTGATGTACTACGTGAAGGTTATCTACTACAAACTGTAAGGAAAGGAAGGTGGTTTGGTATAGATAAATTGTTTTCATAAACATTACTTAAACATGTTTTTTCATTGCTGTTGCAAATATCTTGTAGAATGTGTTTAATAAAGTTGTTGGAAAACAGTTATCAAGTTTGGTACTTCCACTGCCTTTGTAAAAAAAAGTATTGTGTAATTTTTAATAATATTTTGATGAAATTGACAAGTTCAAGATTGAATAATCAATCTTAGGCAGTATTTGTTAAAAACATCTTTATAATACTTTAAAATTCCACCCTTATACCATCTAGACAATGTGAGTTTTAAGTTCGTATTTTTCCATCACATTCTTTAATTCAAGAAAAAAATATTAATTAATTGATTATAATAAAGTCCATGTATTTAATATCTTATTTTGTACAATATGGCTGATTAATTGGTATATTTTATTTCTTCATAAATATTCTAATTTTAATTTTATAAAGAAGATTCGAAAAAACTTCATATATATATATATATATACATTTCTTTTTTACGTTTTCTAATAATTATTTCTTGAATATATAAAATGTGTAATCTTTGATGCTTTGTAATCTTTAATGATTTGATCTTTGATGATATATTTAACTGTCTATAATAATTTTGTATGCTTATTACCATATGTCATTTTAAAAAATCTTATTCTTATTCTTTTGTCTTTCTTGTGTTTAAATCTCCAATTGTTTAGGTTTTACTTAACATCTTTTATAAAATTAGATATTTATATTTTAAAATTATGATGCACCGTCAAGATGTTTTTTTTTTTGCATTCTAATTCTTGTCTAGACTTTTTTCTCTTATTTTTAATGAATTTCTTTATAAAATCAAATACTTAAAAACTTGATAATTAATGTTAGTATGGTTATCTTTTAATTTGTGTTTTGTTAGCCAAGTCAAAGAAATTTGATTGTAGATTAAGTAGTGAATTATTAAATTAGATGAATTATGATAATTAGAATGGTGATAGCTTAATCTTAGCCACAAAGGTTTAAATTAGGCACCAATTGTGAGTCTTCAAATCATTTGTAACTTAAAAAATTAATTTTACAAAATAATAAAAATAAAAATAAAAATAAAGGTTAGTAAAATTAAGTAAAAATTACTTAAAAGAAATAACCAATTAGTATATAAAGACATAGATGAAGATGATTAAAATTAAGAGAAAAAAGATGATTCAAGGGGAAAAAAAAAAAAAAAAAAAAAAAAATGATTTAAATAAAGAGACAATAATTTTAAAGTTCAATTTTATAGAGACAATTGGAAGGTGATAAATAATTTTAGGATTGAATTATTAAGATAGAAACTACTTAACCTTCCATGATTAAAACTAGTTACTAGCAAATGATTTGGATAAAAAGTATCAAATAGCAAGTAAAGATAAATAAATATTAAAAAAATAAAAAATAAAAAACAAATCAGCTTGGTAATATTCATGAGGGGTCATTCTCTTAATTATCTCCTTTCAAGGGTAGTAGCTGAAACCTTCTTGGAGGACCCCCTCTAAAAAAATAGGATGTGAGATCTAGAAGTTCTTTTTATAAAAAAACTAATTCTTTTAATTTTCAACAAAGTAAGAAGTTAGTCATTAAAAAATTAGAATTAAGTATTGGCTATTTTAAACTAAGCTACTAGGATTAATTAGTTTAAGTACATTAGATAAATATATAAACATATATAATCCTATTTAACATACAAGAAAGAAGATATTTAAAACAGCTGTAGTTGTATTTTTCAATTTATATATGTTGATACTTTGTTTGTAAACGTAGCAAGCCTTCTTAATAATATTTTTGTAGCTTTTATATAACATTTAACATAAGTATAAAGATATATTGCTCAATTTTAAGCTTATTTTGGCAAGAAATGATATCAATTTCTTCTTTCTCTAAGCTTTCAAATTTTCTGATATTTTTACTTAATTTATATTAATATATTAAAAATATCCACCATTTAATTTTTAAAATATTTCTATAATTCTCTAGGTTCTTTCATAAAGGTTATAATACATTGCTTCAAGTCTTGTTTTTTTATATCTTATTTTTAAAATTTAAATTTAGACACCACTAAAGTCTATTACTTGAAAAATATTAGAAAAATGATACAATAGAGAGCTACTAATTTTTTATTGCACATCTCTCATTATTTAGAGAAATTTATGATGAGAAAATACTTATGAGAATTAAAAATATAGATGAATATTTATTTATTTATTTATGACCAAAATTTCTATAATTTTAATAAAGATTTTATATATATATATATATATATATATGTGTGTGTGTGTAAATTTATGATCTTCATTCATATAAGATTATTATAAGTATTAAAATATAATTATAATATACATGTATATTTTTCTATTTATAATCAAAATTAAGATGCATATTATAAAGATTTTAAAAGTTTTCTTTCTCGCTAGTGCAAAGAACATACCAATTCCAATTCTATCTAGAGTAAATGTAAATTGGTAAATGTTAATATGCATTGCATTTTTTTGATTAATTTTGATGGGAACTTGTAGTAATTGGATAATTTTTTAAAATTTATTGTTACTAATAATATATTCAATATTGGTTTCACATATATTTTTCTTTCATGTTTTATTAGCCATATAATTTTTTTAATTCAAAGGACCAAAAAAATACTATTATTTCTTTTAAAGTTCCTTCTTCTATGATAAATCTTTTTATTTGCTTATTAATATGTTACTATTTAAGTTTTGGACTTTGCTAAAATCTATATTAGTAGATGTATGTTGATAATTTTCATGTATGTTAGTTTGTTTTTATTTCCTTGATATTTACTTGTGCATGTAAATGTATTATTTTTTATTGTGGTAGTGTGCTGCTATTGTGAATGCTTTAAAATCTGTGTTAATCTTTTTGTTGAATATATTGTAATGTATATTTTAAGATGTGTCTAATCTTCTTTAATCAAGTATCTTTTGTAATTAGTAATTATAGTTCTTGCATGTTAGTGCTTATGAGTGTTCTATAGCACTTTATTTATTTTTTGGAAATATTAATATTATGCAATATTTAATTTTCTAATCAAATTAAACCAACATAAAATAAAAATATTATTAAACTCTATAAGAATAAAAAAATTAAAATCATATAAATTAGATGTGTAATAAGTTCTTCTAACTTCTAACATTTTTCAAATTCTAGTGCAATCTTAGACAAGGACCAATAAATGAAATATTTATTATTTAAAATAATTTAGTAAAAAAGATAATGGCACCTTAGGAAATTTTTCTCAATAAAATACACTATAACTATATATGTCTTCAAAAAGGATATTTTTTTGCCTTTAGAGCCTTATTATTAACATTAATTATTCAAATATTCCTTTTTACAAAAATATCTTTTATAAATGTAAGAAAAATAGAGAAAATATTCTCATTAAAGAATATTTAGATAAATAAAGATATTTGGCTTATCTATGTATTTTTAGGACTTTTATGAAGGCTTATTTTTTTCATCAAACAATTCATCTTTCAACAATCCAAATCATATTACATAAATAGCTATTTTCATGTACAAAATAAATTACTATTAAAACAATGCATTTTTTTAATTTTATAACATAATATCTACTATGAAAACTAAATTTTTATTATTCTTTTAAAAATAAATAAATAAACTTGTTATTTTGTACCTACTTCAAGAAGATTGATATTTGTTTTTACATTTCACAAGATTAAGTTGTCAATCAATTCTTTACATGAAGTACACTTCTATTTTATGATAAAGATCAATTTTTTCATAATTATTATTATTTAAAATAAAAGACTTAATTTATTTTTTAAACATTACTAATCCAAATCTATGTACAATTTTAATGACTTAATATCTAAAAAATCTTATATATCCTTAAAATACCATAAATTACTTATCTTTAACAAATTAAATATCTAATTTTAAAAATAAAATAAAAAATAAAAAATAAAAAATTAATTATTCTATTTAAGCACCATATTATATTAATTTGTATATACACATTACATTTCAAAATTTTACAATCTCATTCTATTGCATCTTTTGTCATAATACTTAAAATTTAATCTACTACCTCTATTATGTAACTATTTGGTATTAATACAATATTGGCAATTGAAATAGGACGTCATGTTAGTTACATGTTCCATTGTGCCAAGATGTAGAAGAAGATTCATATATTTTCAATGCCAAGCTATTGTCTTTTGCATTTATAAGCTTTCACTTGTTCTTTAATTAAGCTATAGACATGGAAATTTAGACCTACAATCTATGACCTTTGATCTTTGGTCCCATAGTCAATTAAAAACCATGCAAAACTATGTATTATCAAAGATTATTTATGATAAGAAGTTAAGCTATTAAAATCATTTATTTATTTATATATTAAAATAAAATAAATAAATAAAATATTTATATATATATATATATCTATTTTCTAATATTATATCTAATTATTGTGTAGCCCATTACATAAAGACTACAGTTAAGATTTGTAAGACTCAACTTCCAAAACTCTTAGTAATAGGTTGACAATGGTAATGAATCCAAATCAATTAGAATAAAAATCAATTTTCTAAAATAAATAGATATTTTTTTCTATACAATCTGGTATCGTAATCCTATTAGAGCATTCATTTTTATTTATCATCTATATAGATGATTAATATAGTAGGTAATTCAGATCCTAGAGTTAAATCTTAGCACTTGGACTTTAAGTATGATCTCAAAAATATTTTTACTTGCAAATTCTACAATTCATGTATATAAGTTTGCACTACTTTTTATATAATTGTTTGTTTATTCTCTTATGGTATTAGAGTAGAGAAGCTCTTCATTTTCTTTTCTTTTCTTTTCTTTAATATTCTCTTATTTAGTTTTTTTTTTTGAACATTGCACTAGAGGTTCATATCAACTTTGTTATCTTAGGCTACCCATTAGTTTTAAAATTACACAATATTGATCTAGAGTATATGATGAATAATTTGGAGAATATCTATTCAAAAGATACTATGTTGACATGTCAAAAGAACTATAAGCATTGATCAAAGGCTCTTCAAATGATTTTTGAGAAGGGAGATTTGTGAGACTTGATCAAGCACCTATCAACACCTTTTTCCTCAATTGCATCATCTACTTTACAAACAAAATCTAAAGAACCCTCAAATTGTGACACCATCAAAATAGATATTTTATGCCGACAAAAATGAAGAGCAAAGATGATGCTCCAGTTATCTATTATGTTAGAGCTTCATTAAAATATTATCAACATCAATGACGAATAAGATGCATGGAAATTCTTAAATATAATGTTTAATAGAAACACAATTTTTGACATTATGATTGTCCTCAATTGCTAGAAGCATCTCCAAATATCTGAATAGTAAGACATTGATATTTTTATGTAGCACATGCATGACATTTTTCAAGATCTAAAGACTATTAATCAAGTACAGTCCAATGAGATTATAATATATAGGATCTTCAATTGTCTACCTTGGCATTTTGACAAGTTGATATTACAAATTCAATTAGAAAAATCTATATTGACCTTTGAAGAGTTGTAGAACATGCTTCACATTGAGGAGACAAATACCACATTATAGAGATTTCATAAAGCTTCCAATAAAGCCTTCATTATAAGGATTTAAAATCTCTATAAGAAAAGATTTAATAAAACTTCAAGTGCTTTATACTAGAATCATTAAATTTTCACAAACTTTTATTGATAAAATTTTGGAGGAACATTTGCAATGAGCAACACAATTCGTTACATGTGTAAAAAACTACGCCACACCTTCTACTATTGTAGGACTCTAGTATTAATTTCTTATACTTTTGCAAATGAAAATTATACCTTGAGAAGCAATTTCAGTCTAATGAGGCATCAACACAATACAACAATCCAAAACTTGGAAGTCAAATTTACAAAAATAATCACTAGTGAGTGTCATTTACTTCACCTACCTAATAACAATGTAATTCTAAATGTGCTAGAATTTCTTACAATTAGCTAATCAAGCAATGATTGGATCCTTGATTCAAGCACTTGTAGACATTTTCAAGAGACTACTCAACTTTTAGTGAGATAGATCAATTGAATAGTATCTTAGTAACATGCATTGGAGGCCATTCCCATATAATAGTCAAGTAATGCTCAATTGATTTATCCTTGTCCAATAGAAAAATAAAACCCCTAAAAGATGTTTATTCTATTCTTGGACTATATAAAAACATACTTTTAGTAGGATAGATTATCCATCTAAGAAATCTTTGGATCTTTAGTCCCACAAAAAGTAGTATCATGTCACTTCAAAAACCACATAGAATAATAGCCAAAGAATCCTGAGAGCAAACAAATGGACTTTATAAAATAGAATATTTGACTAAAATTTTACGTAATCCAACATAAGTAGTCACACCTAAAACACCGACAATAATCCATGATAAATTAGAACTAAATAGCATGAAGAACAACAATACAAATCTTTCTAAATTATGACACAAGAGATTAGGGCACATAAACTATAGAAGTCTAGTCTTTGTTAGCTCCCAAAATCTACTAACATGCATACCTTCTTTCCTTGTGGAACATCAGATTTTCCCTATTTGTTATCAAGGAAAACAAACATGTCAAAAAATACCCAAAATCTCTCTAATCCAAGCTACCAACCCTTGGCACTCATTCATAGGAAAACAAACATGCCAAAAAATACCCAAAATCTCTCTAATCCAAGCTACCAAACCCTTGGCACTCATTCATAGTGATGTAAGTGGTCCACTCCCTATTGAATCCTGATACTTCATATTTTTTACGGATGACTTCAGTAGATATTCATGGATTTATTTCATGAAAACCAAAGTCCAATCAGTAGACATGTTTTAGAAATTTTGAAATATGATAGAGAAACAAACCTCTCATCAGATTCTCTATGTGAGATCTGACAGAGGTGGCGAGTTTCTCTCAACAGACTTCACACTATATCTTGAAAACCACAGTATATCGCGGCAACTCCCTGTCGCCCGCACAGCCCAACAAAATGGAGTGTCCGAGAGAAAGAATCGCACAGTTTTAAACAAACCCGCTCCATACTGTTGGGAGGCAACATACCTGCGTTTCTTTAGACAGAAGCTGCACACACAGTTGTATTGCTTGTGAACTCCAATCCCACAAAGTCCAGCCAGGGTCGCACCCCGCACAAAGTGTTGACTGGAAACAAGCCCAACCTCAGCTAAGTCCAGATCTTCGACTGCCTTTGCTTTGTTGGGCAAGATAGCACACAGCGTAAAAAGCTGGAAACGCCATCACTCCTTGGTGTATATCTTGGGATTTATAGTAATTCAAAAGCATGTCGGATCTATCTACCCGATTACAAAAAGGTTCTTATAACCAGGGATGTTCATTTCGAAGAGACCAAATTTCTAATGCCCACCGATACTAATTCTGATCTCAGTAGTGGATCTTTCAATGAGCCTCATTTCTTTGGTTCAAATCATAGTTGGAGTCAAAATTTGAGATGTCAAAACCAAGGGAAAGTGATCACACACTCTACCTTAAGGTTGAAATCATAATAATTCCACAAGGCTTATTCATGACACAATGAAGCTATGCTTTCCAATAATTTGACCCTTGGTCTTGAAGGAGGTCAACATGTTTTCACCCCAATGGTTGAGAGGCTTAAGCTCACCCATGATATGCATGAAGACACCATCAACCCTACCTATTACACATCAACAGTTGGGAAGCTAATACAACTTGCCCATATGTCTCCTACTCAATTGGAATTGTGAATAGATTCATGATGGAGCCACAAATTCATCTAACAATAGCAAAACATATTCTAAGATATATTGTAGGTACGTTGGATTATAGCATTCTCTACACTACAAAATCAGCAACTATCTTTTCAAGCTATGTTGACACAAATTGGGCAAAAGACTTATTTGATGGGCAATCAACAACAAGCTTTGTATTCATGTTGAGAGCAAGCCCCATAACTTAGCTCACAAATAAACAACCAACAATGGCTCTTTCCCTTTCCTTGTCCACTACAACTAGAGAATCTGCCTAACTAAACAAACTCACAAAAGATTTTGGCATACAAATACAAAAACCAATACCCATCTATTGCCACAATGAAGAGATATTGCCACAATGAAGAGAGTACCAAAATGGCAACAAATCTTGATATAAACCCAGGCACAAAACAGATAGCTACTCATCACCACTTAACCAGAGAAGATCAAAAAGAGAGAAACAAGGTTGATTTATGTGCCCTCATTGGAGCAGGTAGCTGACATATTAACCAAATCCTTTGGGCGCGGCTTATTCAAAAAATTCAGAACCAGGCTAAATATTATCTCTATTAGAGAAGCCCAAATCTGAAAAATCAGCAACCTTATCACCTAGCTCTTTCCGCCTCTGCTCATGGCGGTATGTCTCTATCAGTAAATTCCACTTAGTATTTATACTAGCACTAGTACAGATATCAGTCTTGTCCCAGTTCTTTATCACAAGATGTACATCGGCCTCCATCAACCAACGATCCCAACATCGAAACACCATTCTCATGCTTCAAAGCAACCGAAATACATTGTCACTTGCATTAGGATTACGCAGCAATTTTGGAACTATCACACTATGAGGGAGTTTCGTCAATATTTCACACAAGTATGAAGCTGCCACTCTAAGATCTTCAACCATCTCCTGCACAATTGCATTCTCCGACACAAATTCTCTCACGACATTCTGGATCTTAAACTCGATATTAGCCAGCTCCTCGTCATCCATCTTCATAGAATCAGCGGCCACTCATAATCGACCAGATGAAAGCCGAGTGATTCCATTTCCACCATTTCCAGACAAGCGGACCTTCTTCAACAACAGCATCAACTCACCTTCCTGATGACTATCTCCCCGCAGCAAATATGCCAACTTGCAATCAACTCCAGATTGTTCACAACTCTGAACAACCACTGAAGAAGAAGAAATATCGAAACTGTCGAAGCCATCATACAAACAAGCGGTCTTGCCTTCGGAACTCAAATATGGTATATTGCAACACTGAAATTCAGCAACAATATAAAATTCATGGGACCCTGCCTCTGAAGAATTCTCACACCAATCAGCTGAAACATCATCTCGTGATTTCTCTGCTACACTCAATACTGGACATTCCTCTTCCTCGTGACTCACCGAACTGTCCTAGGGTTATAAGCATCAACACAAAGGAGATCAACCAGCAAACAACAGCGCACGAGGAAAAATTTAAGAGCTGAGGAAACGCACTCACAAGAGCAAACGGAAGCACTCCCACAACGAATTCTGTGAATTCTATTAAAATACAATTGTTTGTACACTGCTGTCGCTCCGCAAGAGACAGTACTTAATAGACATGTTAAATTAGGGCAGGAGGTTTTCTCGTTGTTTTTTCAAGTGGATGGTTTCGTAGCAAGGGAGGGTGTTAGAGCATCCATTTCTTCTTATCATCCACATAGACAATTGTCGTAGTGGGTAATTGAGATCCTAGAATTAAGGCTCAGCACTCGGGCTTTGAGCATTATCTCAATAGTATTTATACCCGCAAACTCTACAATTCCTGTGTGTAAGTTTGCACCGCGTTTTATATGATTGTTTGTGTATTCCCTCAAATCAATAGTGTTTTGAGTCATGCGCACGCTCCGACAAGGAAAAGACCCATCTTTGGCATTGTTACTCCAGTCATCTAAGCGGTGATTGCGGCGATGCTGAAGCTACTTTGATTCCTGCAACAGTGAATAGTTTACAAATCTGCGTCCTCGAGAAGATGGGTCAGTCATTGCACACTGAGTCGTCGATCTGCAAGCGACTAAACATGTTGCCCTTGGTCAGATGATTTTTTGCCTCCCTGATGACAACAACCTTCAGACTGGGTCCATCGACAACCCCACAGATTTATTACCACTTTCCTCGGCAAGGCTTCATGCGCAAGCCACACGCTGCTGCATGGTGTCACTGTCTCTTGAAACTTGGTCGACTACGTAACAGACGCGAGTGACCAGGTGGATTGAGAGTTCGCTTATTTCACTCTTCTTCTTTGTCTTGATTTTCGATTCCAACTATTCATCATCTGTTCCGGATTTTGCCAATGCCACAAAGTTTCATGACTCGAATCGTCCTTCAACGGGTCGAACAGTGATAAGTATACCCAGTTGGTTGATTAGTTCATTTAACTAACTGATTTAGAGGAACTGATTGTTCCATAGCCGATCAAAAAACGTAATTAAGACTTGTGAAAAAAATCAAGGATATAAGTGTATTAAATCATGTTCGTCCTTCGCCCAAGATCCAGTTCGAGAGAGTTAACCTCGTTCTTGTTCAAGATCACGGACAGTACTCGGTGCAGGATCGGGCACTCAAGAAATCGGGATTCAAGAGGGATCTGCATTTCATTTCATATCATATGCCTGGCCTGCAAACCAAATTACAAGAAAGAACTAGCATAGAATCCGCGCAACAACCACAACTAGGCATCAACAAACCTAATCTGCGAAGGTGGCACTCTACAAAAAAGTGGACTCGAGCAGAGCCACAGAATGAGCAAGTAACAAGGGGCACAAACATACAGACGCCATCGTCAAACAGACAAAGGCACTTTATGGTCGGAAATGATACTTGTTAGGCGTACAATCAACATCCAAACCAACATTCGGAAGAGGGATGTCACAATCTGCACGTTTCGTGGCGCTAGCAGGCGCAATGACTATGCCAAAAAACAGAGTTACTTGCTCATTCTGTGGCTCTGCTCAAGTAGGTACTCTGGTGAATCATCCCGTGACCAGAGACAGTTCCGCAGCCCTAATTCATCCAACGCAATGGATGGCAGGACGAAACGTGGGCGAAAATATCTAGGCAAAATCCTACATACCCTGGGAGTAGTTTCTCAGAAACTCCCTGTAACTCCAAAATGCATGCGCAATCATTTGGATTCTCCCGCTTGTTCAGACATGGGACACTGTATGGAGGCTTCCAAGATGCGGTGATTCTGCACTTTCAAATAGTTGCAATTCCTGTGAGGTACGTACTACGAAGACTTTCTCCGTGATGTTTTGTCAGAGCTGCTGTGCCTAGAAACATAGCGAGGGGAATATGCACCTGTAGTTGATATGGTCTCACTGCCTGAGAAGGAGACTAAGGCATGCTGCACGAAATACTTCACGAAAGGCGTGCAAGGATGACTCGAAGGATTACAAGCATCTAAAGGTTTGTTGAGCACACCCTCGTACATAGAGCAAATAAGCGATTGAGGGCGAGGGTTTTCCATGTCGTTATGGAGGGTGAGACAATTTTTAGGATTTTTGGAAAAACTTCAATTAGACAGCACAGTAATCGTGAGGAGAGTGGGGGCAAAAGGTGCCCATGAGCTTTTCTCCATCGCTGATCTGCACCCCGCTTAACGGCACTCGCCCTTCCAAATTCCATTCACCAAATTAAAGTCCCCTTTGTGTTGGCTCCATTTGCTTAAACCAGTATAGCTATGGGATTCGACTCTGCCAAATAGGTTGCGCACGTCATTCGCTGTTTTATATCTTGAGAGCTTCATGCAGCAATTCTTCAGAATGAATCACAAGAATACTCACACCTTTCGATCAACCACGTCCCAAAAGGTACGAACAACTCCCACAATGAATCTTTAAGCAGGGATTTTTTCCCTCGCATCCTAATCGCACATGACATCACAAGACTGCACACTCACCCCACATGCACACACACACAACAGTTGGAGTGACCGCCACGTAGCAAATACACTGTTCTTGCCACGAATTCATGAGAAAGATAGACTCCTCGCCCACTTCAGCAGCGATGTGATTGACTTGCGGCAGGGATGAACCACATGCTCGACCTGCACACCTGGGAGAAACAATCCTCGGTCACCGACTTCCACAAAGCCTCGTGGGAGTATTCCAAAACGGTGGGTTCCAGACTCTCTCACACGCATCCCGGAAAGCAATTAAAAACTGGATGAAGAACGAACGGGACGAGGGTGCGGAAGTGACGAACCGCAAATGCGATCCATGTGGGCGCTGCAGCCGGAGCGAATCCGTGAGGGAGGTGCCCAGCAGGGCGGGGGGGGGGGGGGGACGCCTCGTGGGCAGGGAAAGAGCAATTTCGAAGAAATAGCGCGCGGGGGGATAACAATCGCCCTGATCGCACCGTACACTTGGCATTGACCTGCTGTATTATGGCCTCCACGTGGGCGCCGCAGGGAGGCTGCAACACCCTTTCCTCGGAGCCAGCGAGTGAGGTGGATCGCGGGCCCCGCCTCCGCCCGGGAGTGACATGGCGGACTGTCGGGAGGCGTTTCGGATTTTTTTTTTTTTTTTTTTTTTCACGTGGTGGCCCATGACCGACCCCTCCCGGCTACGCGCATCACCGCATCGCTGCCCCTTATAGCTCGCTAAAAATAAATTCATACCTGCCCGCTGACCAAATCTCATGCGTCTCAAGACAGCTCCACCTCAACTGTGGTGGTGGTAATAAACTATTGGAATGGTCCATAGCGGTAGTTCATATCGAAATGAGAATAATATGTTTTGTGAAAGCATAACACACTGTAGATTTATTTTTCTCATTTTTGTAACTATTCCATTTCAAATATTTATTTATTTATGGATAGATAGAGGGGAATGTTAAATAGATATTTTAAGTTGATTGTTGGATTCATTTTTTTATTTTTATTGTTATAATATTATTATTGTTGTTGTTACACAGAAAAACCAAAGGCAAAAGAGTGAGATTGTGAAAGGGTGCAATGCAGGTTGGGTGGTGGTGGAGGGTGAGCAGGCATTTGCAAAGCATCTCAAGGAGCACTATCCCACCTTACAGCAGAGAAAGAGACATCAATCCTATGGGTATTAACAACACACAAGCTTGACAATGCCCTTTGCTATAACCATGGAGACAAAAAAAAAAAAAAAAAAAAAAAAAAAAAAAAGACAACCACAAGTGATGTGAAAGAAGGACCATTGTTACAACATTTAATAGATACCTGTCAATTCATCCCACTGTACTATTCAACTCATACATCCCCTTCTTCCTTTGTTTGTATGTATACTTGTTCAATGTGGGGTTCTATATGACAAAGAATGACAACCTAAACATCTGTGGGGAGCAGCCTCATTCACAGTTTGCAAGACCATTTTTGAAGCCACAAAGTAGGTCCATCCATTGCCCAGCAGCACTCACAGAGTGCCACTTGGCCACTAGGACCTTTCATTTCCTTCCTTTATCTGGGTTCCTTTCCACATGAAAGGCTGAGAGGAGTTTGCAAGTAGCTTTACTAATGCTATTAATATACATTTATATTAATATTTTTAATATAATGCAAATGTAAATGGGACTTGGCACTGGGTTTGCCACCAAGTGTGCATTCCTGGTAGAGTTGTTGATGTTTCCAAGTGAGCTCACATGAAGATGGTTTCTTGGCTTGTGACTTGATATATCTCTTGCCCTGTTTTCCTTCCTTTCTTTGTTTGTTATGATTTATTTTAAAAAATAAAAAATAAAAAATGATGATTTTAATACAGAATGAAAAAATAAATAAATAATAGTGATATTAATATTTTAAAATAAAGTAAATTAATCATGCACCAAGTTTAGAACATCACAATTAGTAAATTTTTATAATTTTTATAATTTTTATAAAACGTATTACAATATTCTTAAACTACATATTTACACTTTTTATCAACTACCATTTTGTATCTTTTATATCTAAAAGCGTGCATGTTTTTTGTTGCAAGCATCTTGATTAGATATTTGGTTTCCTTCTTACAAAAACAATTTTAGGTTTGATGTTTTGACCCTTGTTCCATGATTCTACAAAACTCCTACATCAAAGTGTCAAATTACAGCATTGAAAAACAAAGGTCATCATTATCACATGCATCAAAACATTGTTAGGCCATTTTTAAAGACCCATAATTTAGTTGTGGGCAATCTCAATGTTCAATTATCAACCATCCACATCTCCTCATCTTCTTCACCTTTTTTTTTTTCTTTTTTCTTTTTTGTTTTCCAATGGTGTTGCAAACCACTACCACATGAATGTACATCATCCAAGCCTACTAAACCAGAAACTTGCAGGAACCCATCAGAAATGTGAACAAAGTCAAAGGGTGCTGGAGAACAAGGTAGAGTTTGAAGGGGAAAAGCGGGAAATTGGGCAAGTAAAGCTGGCAAGACTAAGCTACACCGCCCCTCCCCCCTCATTGAGCCAGGGTTCTATTCCCACAGCACGCAAAGCTAAACAACACTTGCCACGCTCTCCGTCCAGCCCCAACATGGTGAAAGTTTCCCTGGCCTGAGACATTCAGGGCATGGGGCCACGTCACCACCCTTCCACCAATGGGAACACGCCGCAGGGGATCGGATCGAGAACGAGCGGGAATACGGTGAGAACACGCGGGAGAGATTCAGCGTCCACCCCTCCCCCTCTCCCGACACTGTAGTAGTGGCCCTTCCTTCGCACGCATGAGATTCCATAATATTCTCGTGTCTTTACGGTCTTTCCGACTGCCCGGCTGCCCGAAATTGAAGCTGCCTGTTGGAAACAAAGCGCAGCGCCCCGACGCGTGGACGGCGAAGCCTGGAGGAGGAGCAAGCGACGCGGAGGAAACGCCACAAATTCATCACAGGAACTGGAGTACCTCACGGGGATCTAGTAAGAACTTGCTGCAGGGAGGGTGATGAGGTTACACTGCAACGAACGAACGAAAAGAGAGAGAGAAGGAGAGAGAGAGAGGATTAGTGGGTCTACGGGCTCAGGTCGGCGCTGCGATCGCGGAATTAACGTCGGGTGGCAGAGTCGGTGACGACGTTTCCCTGCCGTGCCACCTTCGTAGCTTCCCCGCGTCCTCACCCTCATTCCTAATTCGGCATCAATGCATCACTGTAAGTTACCGGACAAGTGTTGCCTGCGGTGTACAATCAAAGTCTGGCTCTGCTGTCGCGTCCGATTGTGACGAGGTGCGTGAACTTCGCGTTGAGAGAGAGAGAGAGAGAGAGAGAGAGAGAGAGAGAGGGGGGCGGTTGTCGAGTGAGCGCCGGTTTCGCGTAGAGAGAGCGCTTGTTTGGTTGTTCGCGGGCGCTTCGGATGGTTGGACTTCCTCAGTGGTTGCTGTCGTTGGGGTGCGGTGGTTGAGTTTCGTAGCTTGTTTGCGGATTTGCGGGGTTCTGAGAGAGAATCGGGAAGCGTTAGCGGTGAGTGGGATTAGGCTGTGGAGAATGATTGTGCGATAAGGGTAGTCCCTGGGACTGAAGAGAGGCATTTGCGGATTTCCGTTGAGAACGAGATATTTCTGAGTGTCTGTGTTGATTATTATTATTATTATTATTATTATTTTAATTTAGTGTTTCGTCGGTGTATGTAGCTGTTTTGCAGCGTGAGTGGGGCATTTGGTTTATTTTCGGACGTCGTGGCTGTAGTTTGTGGTTTGTATTTTGCGTGTTCGTCAACCTCATTTTCTTCAGTGGTATGTCTCTTGATTGTGCAAGTGAAGGAAATATTCAGTGAAAGGAGGGTTCGCGTATATATAGAAATATATTCATCTTTTTCCTTTTTTTTTTTCTTTGTAAATTTTCGAAAGTCCTCGGATTTTTAGTTAGCTGCGTAACGATGTTGTACTTCAATGGTAGTGAGCTGTGCAGAGGGGTAAAGGTGGACTTTGAGAGGGTCTGTTTTTTTTAATAGTGGGATCCTAGCACTTGCTGTAGAATTGACACTATGGGCGTGGATGTTGGGAATAAGGATTGGTCAGGAATGATTGTGGGTGGTGGATTTTAAGACATTACTGTTGTCTGTATGCAGGATTTGGGGTTTGGAATGCCGCTTCAAAAATTCACAACAGCAAACTCCCACGTCCGGCATGGTGCGAGTTTTATCGACTTGTGGTGATGAGCAAGCAGCAGGTGTGATGGACGTCGGCAAATACATGTGTTGAGATCTCAAAACAGGATTTCTTCAGTTCGCAGCTGAATATAAGTATCTAGCGGATAGTTGGCCAGGTTGCAGCTTACACTCCAGTTTTCCCATACCGGGTGTAGGTGGATTTTGGATGGAAAGAGGTGCCGCGGACTCTTCCCTCTCGAGATCGTTTCTCTGAATTAGAGCACCATGAATATTGCTCGGCGTAACCGCGTTCGTCCCTTCATTAGTATAGTTTCATTCGTCTTCTTCTTAACTCTTCTCCGCACGCATACCGACTGGGTTCCTTCATCGTCTTCACTTGCCAAAGGGCAAACTGCTTCATATGCCGTAGGTTATTTGGGAATCGAGAAATGGAGAGGCACAGGCCGACGTGTGTTAGGATTGCACTCTGAGAATGAGTCGATCATATCTGAGATTACGAATAATACTTCACCAAACGCTCCGAGGAGAAAGAAGATCACAAGACCATGTACGAATGTGCGGGAGCACATTGGATTTCCCGATGAATGCAGTTACGTGCGTGCCAATACAGAGTGCAGCTCCGGGACGCTTATAGAATACGTCACTGCGTATTACTGCACGTTCTCGAAGGCGCCGATTCTCGCCTACGTTTTGTTCTTTGTGTGGCTCTTCATGCTCTTTTACATGTTGGGAAACACAGCTGCGGATTATTTCTGTTTCTCTTTGGAGAAGCTCTCGGAGCTGTTGCGGCTTCCTCCCACTGTGTCTGGGGTGTCCCTCCTCCCTTTGGGAAATGGAGCACCTGACGTGTTTTCCAGCATTGCGTCGTTTCTGGGGACGGAACACAGTCAGGTGAGATGCGACCTCAGAAGCAATTTGACAGGATTTGGCCCATTGATTTTGATCGCAACTGCATGTTTTCTGCTGTAGAAATCTTGTCATAATAACTAAAAAATGCAACTGGGCTCGGTTTCGTGCAGGTTGGCTTGAACAGTGTTCTTGGAGGCGCAGTCTTTGTTACATCGGTGGTGGCCGGATCGGTGAGTTTGGCTGTGCAGCCGACGGGCCCGGCAGGAGTTCGTCCTCAGCTCGATTGCATTTGCTTCTTAAGGGATGTGGGGTTTTTTATGGGCTCTTTGGCGATCCTTTCATTCATCATTTACCAAGGGAAGATAAGTTTTGCGGGATCTGTTGGGTATTTATCTTTATATGTGCTATATGGGATCATAGTAGCCACGTACGAGTTGATCAAGAAGCGAAATCGCAAGAATCGACGTCTGCATCTGGAACCACTTCTTTCAAGTAAGCGTAGTGCTCAAGTGGAGGAACTTCTTGGATAAGTCCCCCTTTGCATGTGTACCGCTAAGTTTCACGAAAACTGAAGCTATGCTATTAGACGGTCTACGTTTGATTAAGAGATTTAGTCATGTGTAAATGTGTATAAAAGTCTTGCTCCGTGGGGCTGACATTGAGATATGGTTCACTTGTCGCCATGCCAGGTTATTCATTAATGTACAAAATTGTTGTTGTCAGATGAAGGTTTGGAAGACACATTGGAAACAAGCTCTGAAGCTACAGACGAATCTCCGTCCTCTGGCGCCGACTTGCCCCCTCACAGATGGGATTGGCGAGAAACGCATCACGTTGCAATATTCTCACAAACTAGCCTGGCAGCCGCATTAGAAGCTACCATGACGGAGCCTGATCATGGAGATTACACTGTGCCGCCAAATGAGGAAGTACCGACAGCGGAGGTGAGAGCAGTCCTTTAAAAGAGAAAACCAACCCAACATTTTCATGTGTGAGAGATCATATTTGATTTTTGTGGATCACACCCAATTCTCTATTCTGGAAGCTGAATAACTACCACAGTGATGGACTTTGAATTAAAACTTCAGCAGTATTCCATGAATTATTACCACAGTGAATGCTCACTCAATTTCTTAACATGTAACCAGTGGAATTCTCACATGGTCCGCTAAATGGATTGTCTTCACAGGAACCAGCTTGTGGAGCGTTGTGTGGGGAGATGCTAGACTTGCCGCTGAGTCTACCACGACGTCTCACGATCCCTATTATAGAGGAGGATCGATGGTCCAAGCCATTCGCCGTCGCTAGCGCAACCTTGGCTCCGTCACTGTTAGCAGGAGTGTGGGATGGCAACGACGGGGATCCGTTCGGCAGCAGCCTCAGCGTGTACTTACTTGCCTTGGCCGTCGGGATCGTACTCGGCATTCTCGCATACCGAAACCTGGACAAGGACCGCCCGCCAACCCGCTGGGTCATGCCATGGGTGCTGGGAGGGTTCATAATGAGCATCGTGTGGTTTTACCTCATCGCCAACGAACTCGTAGCCGTTCTGGTGGCGTTTGGTGTGATTCTCGAGATCGATTCGGCCATCTTGGGGCTCACGGTGCTGGCATGGGGGAATTCCATCGGAGACCTGATATCCAATCTAGCACTGGCGTGCAACGGAGGGGACGGAGTGCAAATCGCCATCTCGGGTTGCTACGCAGGGCCCATGTTCAACACAGTCGTGGGATTGGGCTTGTCTTTTGTTCTGGCGAGCTGGAATCGGTTTCCAGAACCCCTCATCCTTCCCGATGACGATACCGTCATCTACACAATCGGCTTCCTCTTCCTCAGCCTTGTTTGGGCGTTAGGGGCACTGCCGACTCGCGGCATGAAGCCCAACAAGATCATGGGAGTAGGGCTTCTGTTCTTGTATATTTCCTTCATGGCGTTGCGGCTGGCGGACATTCTAGGGATTATTTCCCTCGAGGGTTTCAATCTAGGTTCTTCACCGGGCTTCTTGGGTGTAAGAGTTGTGTAACGACGAAATTAAGAGTGGGATTGGGAGCTGTTCTTTGTTAGATGGTTTTAGCGGCAGAGGAGAGATGCAAGCGTCAACTCTCTTCAGACGGATGTGGGCTGGCTCTAGGTGTATATTAGGTGTAAAAAACGGACGAAGTAATCTTCTCGATTAAAAACAAGGCATGGTGACACCATCTGGTGTCAACAATTAGTTAAGGCTTTGCCCACCTCCATGTTGTCAGTCCGTTCTCGTGCAACAGGCTGGATTGTAGTCTATTGAACCTCGGGGCTTGAAGCTGCGCCTTGCAATTCAGACAGGGATTTCTTCGATAGATGCTACTGGTTCAGTGTAGATCATTTATTGAATTGGGTGGAACGAGGGGTTGCTGGATTCCAACAGATAGTTTGTTGGTTCCGACCTCAACGCCGCACGTATCTGGTGGGGACATTTCAACACACTTGTTCTTCTCTGTTGTTAATTAGTTACCGTTGCGAAAAAGAATAAAAGTAAAAGCAAAGAGAAAAAAGAAAGGACGTGTTGGAATCTATGGAAAGTTCATGAATTGTGCGTGAAATGCTCAGTTGATCTCCGGTATCGGAGGTTCCTGTAACGAAAGAAGCACTTGTGTAGTGTTTTCCTCCGCCCACAACAGAATTTTGTGATGGTAATAGCACTTTTGTTGTGGAGTTAATCTGGGTTAGTACCGTACCGTCTTCTATTCTTGTACTATCAATATGTAAGTTGAAATTATGTTGACAACTTGACAGCATCTAATTGCCAGGGTTCTGTCTCCGAGGTTCATGTGATGGGATTTTTATCTTTAAATTCACTCTCAAAGACTGCCATGCATGACCTTGATCATTCACATAAAATCATTATTTTTATTTCAGCGGGTCTTTTGGAATGACCCGTCATGTTGCTGTGACACGCTACGATGAATTACCAGTTCCAGCCGAAGGGCTTCCAAAAGATTGCAGTCCACCTTATGCTTTTCGTGAAAGTTAAACCAATTTGCAACGCACTCTCCTGTGAGCTGAAAATAGAATCATGTTATTCAGGTAAATTTATGCCTAAAATTAGCATGTGCTGCGAAGAATATTATGAATACGTTACTACGGAAAGGCACTTTGGACGCTCAACCACGTCAGCTATCCATGGAAAATTCAGTGTCTGTTTTTTCGAGCTGCAAACGTACTTGAAGCGAATTTCGAAAGGACAACAATGCCTGCTGATCGGATTAGACTCCTACCTCGAAGAATCTTCCTGCGAACCGACTTGCGTATGTCGTCGTCTAAGCCGTTGCCATGTTTGTCGATTGGATAAATGTGTGATTTCACAGCTGAAATACTGGAGAGGTGGGTACCACCTGCTGACGTCGCGATAAAATCAAGTCACATTTTTGAGAAACAGAGCAGTAAAAAGGTTCAACTCAACCAAAAACTTCAGTTTTCTTACTTCGAACCAAGAAGTCCAGCCCACTGTCGAAGTCAGAGTCAGGAGAGCCATCCAGATTCACAATTGCTGGAGAATTTAGAGCAACCTACAGACAGGATAGCAAGGTATTATTCTTGGGAATTGCCTTTTGGTATCCTCATAAGTAACAAAATCAACTTAATGAAATAATGTATCAAGAGTAGCGCTCCAGACTTCGAGAGAAAGAATATTACTGGGGAGTGGTTTGGAGTCGATTCCAGAGATTTCTTTCGAAGAGATGAAGATTGATTAATGAGTCGATGGTGTGATTCTCTAGGTATCACTGGATGAAAAATGTCATGGAATTCAGCTTTCAAATCACTCTTGAGGTTGACGAGCTCCTCCCGCAATGACTCAGTAATGAGCCTGCAACTGGCCTCAGCATTTTCCTTTGAAACGTCTTGTGCCGTTGGCTGAAGTTAGCATGGAAACGGCAGAAAATTACTCATCATTTTTCTCTCACATATTTTTCAAATTCTGTTCCTCAGAAGCTAAACCGATCCACCTGCCTAAATACGACGAAATTGGGCAAAAACAATTGGAAAAGAAGATCTACCTGGAAGCTTCCGACTTCCTGAAGAATAGTTTCCTCCAAGGCTTTAATGGCAGTCGTTATGCTGCTGTTCGCTGTCTCTTCTTCTTTGACCTGATACGAAGGTATGAATTTCTTTTTATCGAACTACATTCAGAATTCCAAAGATTTTGCAATTAACTTCAACTAAGTATTGCGAATTTATTGATTCTGAAGTCGCAATAATAGAGAAGACATCGTGCCATTTTTAGTTGATTGTTAGGCCATCATTTTTCCAGAGGAATTGCCATCTGACCAGTTTGTGAAGTGCGTTCGGTTGACGCGACAATTTTGATCTGCTGTCTGTGTCTGTCAAAGATTGTAAATGTCAGATATCTCCAGTACCACTATATACTTGAGGAATGCCTTGAGCGATGATTGGTGAGAGTTGAAGTATGAACGTAATCAACTTAAAATTCATCGTGGTCAGCTATGTGTTTGTCGCTAACGGTGAGTGGTGAAAAGAACGATATTCTTACTCTCGAAACATGTTTCTTCGAGGAATGACTTAAGGTGCTGATAATCATCACAAATTTTCTGAATAACGGCGATTTCTGCTTCCCTTAACTTCTCCAAGTTGGCTAATCTTTTTTCTATGTCCTCAGAGACATTACCTGATGCACACAATTCCAATATGGAATCGAAGTATCATATCACCATAGTACATGAGAGCAGAAATTGCGCAGACAATTGCGAAAGGAGACGAGTGCATAGCTGGATTTAACTGGCATAAAAGAGCATACAGTGTTGCCATGGACGAGGCGTGTTGTTCTGAGGTCCAACTAACAAAAGCGAAGCACTTGCGGAAGTCGAACTTGCAGGTGTTTGAGCTCCTCCAGCATTTCCAAGTGTGTTTCGGCGATTAAGACTTGAAGTCAATCCAGCAAAATAAGGAGGAGGTTTTTGCGGCTGACTAAGTGATGTCTCTTTGCAGTTTTTCGACTATGCCAAGAATTTAGAAGGACGAAGGTCAGATGGTAAATTCAGAGCTTTGCAAAATAACAATGTAAACTGCTGAACAAGAAAAAAACCATCAGATAAATGTTTTTCGCGTATTATAATCAATATCCCAGGTCAATGCAGGAAAGTATAACACAAACAGGGCTGCAGTTACGAGTCACTCACTTGATCGCAAGCATAGTCCTGTGGTTGTGTATTTGGTGAGAACCGTAACTGTGTATTTTGAGTTTGCGTTAGACATCCTTGCGAAAGGGATCGCTGACTCTGCGAGGAGTACGGATTGTAAGATCGCGGCAGAAAGGGATGCTTGGACTGTGACTCTTGCTGAGAGCCGCAATCCGAGTACTGTACATCTGCGGGTCCAACTCTTTCAATCGGCCTCGGCGCTGTTTCATATCTTCAATGAACCGAAGAGAAAGAAACTCGTCAAAATCTTGTGGAAGCGCACACATCACAAAATGGAGGTTCAAATCCATAACAGACATCCTGATGAATTTTTTCACTGAACCGGAGCACTTGATGACATCAAGTTCATTCTATGAATGCTGTTAAAAACCTTTTACTCATTAAATTGCTTACAAAGGAAGTGCTCAGTGAGCTAATCAATTTGAATCTTGCAAATCCATGTAAAAAACTTATCAAAGGCGGAGCAGAGAAGGCAACAAACCCTGGGAGGATTTGACGAGGAAATGGCGTGATTGCAGCGTGGCTAAGTGAACTCGGCCTACCGCCTAAGCTCAAGCTGCGCTTCTTCATAACGAGATTGAAGCTACACTCACGCGGCTCAACAATGATTCCGCCAGCTCTACAATGGAGATCATCTAATGATCTTCTTCCCTAACCAAGACGTCCCCAATCGTCCCAGAGTTCATTCAACGGTTCCAAGTGCTCCCGAGTTAAGTAGAACTGTTCGTTCTCTCTACGAGAAGGTTTGGGGCCCCTGAAAAGACTGTCCAATTTCATGTAATGAATGTGGATGATAGCTCCGATCCCATGCAATTTCATCCGTTGTATTTTGGATGAGAATGAAAAGATGCAGTGTTGAAATACACATCGACACTGTTACTGGTCGTTTGTGAGATGAAGTTCATCAAGGAATTGGGTGATTCTAGATGACGTGGAAGTGTACCCATTTGCACATTTGCATCATGACTTTGTGGTACATGACCGATCTACGAAGCAGCACAAAAGCAATGCTTCACGGCCTAACTTATAATGCATAATCTGTGAAGCAATTCTCTGAATTGCAATGAGACGCCTCTGTTGGAGAGTTACCCTTGGTTCTAAATGCCTAGTAGGGTATTGTACTCATTTAGACTAAATTTGTGATTGAGGGTTCTACTTAAGAGGTTGTTGTTGGGATTTTTTGAGAAGCTTTACATTTCTCAAAACACGATGGTGCTTGTCTAGTTGATTTTCTCATAGTATCTGTAAGCAAAGTGTAAGATTTCTATGAACACAACAAATAACAGTGACTTTATTTGCATGATATAATTCAATATTTACTTTGTGAACTAGAGTAGTTTGAACTGTTTTCTAAACATTATTCTGTTTGCACTGAATTTAATCTGTTGTTTGAACTATACATAGCTCAAGTTAGTGGCTAATGCATACCTTGCCTTTGGTGAAAAAATGGTGGGTATCAACTTCGTCCATGTACAACTTAGGTATTGCATAGTTTCAGCCATCTATAAAGAAATCATAGGCACACATTTTTGCCAATACTTCGTCTCACCTAGGGTTTCATTTATTTTTCATTTTTTATTTGGAAATTTGTGTTACAATATCAAAGCTTAATGTGTTGGCACTTTAGGATCACGTTGACCTTCTCTCTTTAGTAAGTTGTTTCTACTCTAGCTCTTAATTTGTTGTTTCTTTTGTAGTTTTTCTTTTTGGTTTACTTCCTAACTTTTATATTTTTAGTAGAAATTGATCCTTCTAGGTATTTTGGTTTCTAATCACAATGTTGAGAAGAGGATGTAATGCTAGAATTTCTTATACTCATCATCTTCTTAATAAGTCTCTTTTATAATTTGCAAAAAAAAAAAAAAAAAAAAAAAAAAAAAAACTTTGGAAGGGAATATAAGTTTAGATGCAGCTTTTGAAGAAAAGGCTTTGTATAAAGAAATTTCTTTCAATTGTATAAGTTCTCTTCTATATGGATCATCTAATGTTTTAATACCTTAATTACCACTAGACATTGCTTATGAGACTATATAATTTAAGCAAAATTTAGAGACAAGAAATAGAATCTTTTGATTATTAGCATATACTTTTATTTATAAAAATTGATATTATTAGCTATTAATATATGGCTATAGCTAAAAGCATTAAATCTAAGAACTTATTATATAGATATAAGGATAAATATGTATATTTTATAAAAATATATAGTGAAGATATGGTTGATAGACTTACAATGTGATTATTTTACAAAGGTATAGATCAAGAACTCAATATATAGTTGATGTTGAAGAAGAATTTTTTTTTAATCTATAGCCTTTTTAAATATAGAATGTCATATTTTATTGATAATCTTAATAAATATATCAGCCAACTATCATTTAGTTGAAATGTATGATACTTGGACCTCATCAAGTCAAGCTTTTTCTTAAATATAGTTGAAGTGTATTTCAATATGTTTAATTTTGGCATATAATATGTTTCAAGTTATGCTTCAAACATTAGTCTATATTTGGCCTTAATAGTTGATAATATGATTGTGCTTTGCAACTTCAAACTCTAATGAAGTTATAAGTTTCTAATCATATATATAAATCATGACATAGATTTGCAAGAATCTTTATCTTGCTCCCAATTAGCATCTGTTTGAGCAATCATTTTACTTAGTTTTCTCTTTGAATAATGAATTCTTAGTTCTATAATTCTTCTTTAATAGCATAAAATATTCATCCTTGCCTTCCAATATAATTTTTGAGGTGCAATGTAATATCTACTAATGTAATTCACTACAAAGCTTATATCAAGATGTTCCATGTTCAATAAATAAAATGAGCCTTTAACAAGTTTGCAATATTTAATTCTTAATTCACTTTAAAATAAAAAAATTGTACCTTTGTTCATAAGAATTATGTGTCAAAGACATGAATCTCGAAGAAAGAGAATCCTCAATATCCTTTGCTATCATTGAAGAGAACTAGAAAGTCATTCAAAAAATAATGTAATACTAACTAGAATGGCTATCGCCAAAAACAAGAAGAGTAGAAAGTCTTAAAACAAGACTAAGATTAGAAAGGCGTTGACAAGAGTGAAGAAGGCTTCACTCTTGCCTCCATATATACTATCTAACTAAGAGCTATGTGGTGATGTCCTATAGAATCTTCAATATGTGTTGACTTTGCTAGCCACATGTCTTATCTTGCAAGGCAAGTTATCTATATATATACCACATAGTTGGCTTGTTCTACAAGCTATTATACGGAGATAACTTGTTCCATAAGCTACCGATATATGGTTAGCTTTTTGGCCAAGTTTCTAACCTACAAACATATCTAAAGTCAAAACTGTATCTATGAAGCTTCTAGGAAGCTTCTCTAGAAGACTTTATGAAACTATTCTATATTTTCTTACTTCTACTTAACAATATAAGTAACTATTGAAGTAAATGTATATGTCCGTGACATTACCTCCTCTTCTAGGAATGAATTCCATGAGGAGCGGTCTTCATATGTTGACGAAGTCCAAGATGCGATGAATTAGAATTGCTACATACTCCAATCTTTCCTCTCTTCGAAGATGGTTGATAGGTCATGTCAACCATCTGTAGTGTCCTATACCAGGGCAAGAAGACCACCATGTTATTTGGCATTATTGAGGCCTTCATAACTTCCTTCAAATGAAACATTTGGAATATCGTCAGAAATTCTTCCTACTTCTAATAAAATCACTAAACATCGGGAGTCTCTTCGAAGGTCATGATATCAAACATGTTGTATCTTGCCATCTATTTGAGGAAGGACATGTCGTTCTTGAAGATCTTCATCTCAATTCCATCATCTTGAAGGTTGTGACAATCGCAATGTCTCGTGTGGTAAGTCCGCAAATGAAAGCTCTTGAGTTGAATCTGTTGGTTGTTCATGCTCCATTTCATCACAAATACACATAAGCTATAATGAAAGATAGAAGGTAGAATATTATTTTCTTTTGATCTTGTTTCTTTTATAGCAAAGATTAGCTATTCTTCATCTTAGTTTTGATGGATGTCGTTGATGCAAGACTTCAACTTTCATTGCTACATTTACAAGATTCTTTGATGGCTCCCATATACGTTCACTAATATCATATCCGTGCCAATGAACAAGATATTTTAACCTATTTTGGTGCCACCTTGAGTCTAAGACTTCTTCCACCTCAAACTCTTGATTATTATCCACTTTTATAGAAAGAGGTGGCATTTGTCTTCTTCTCAAGATATTCATTGACTTATACAACTCCAGAAGAGACACGTTGTTGTACTGTAAAAGCTTATAGTATGTAAAAATTAGTTAGAACATATAATATGTTCATAAATCTTGGTATATGTTAGAATGGTTAAATAGATTAATTTAAAGAGAGTGGATTTAAGAAACTTTATTTTGAGTTTATCTTTTTAGTTATAGTATTTCAAAAAACAATTATAGAACCTAAATGTTTAGTATGGAGCCTTGAGAAGAGATTAGAGCCCAAAGAAGAAATTCTTAACTAGTAGAAGGCTTATTGGGAGGGATGAAAGCAAGGCATGGTTGGATGAAGGCAAAGAATGGAAAACTTCATTCCTATTGGTCGAAGGCCATGTCCAATGGGCTTCAAGGAGGCTGCCCGAGGCCTTATTAGGAATTAGGGTTTCTCTTTCGAAGTCATTTGAGCTTTTGAGGCTAGAATCAGAAAGTTCAGGATTTTGGGTATAATTTGGGTGAAGAGTTTGTATGATTTCGAGTTTTTGTGAAGAAGATATAGGTGTTCAAAGTTAAGGTGTCAAATTTGTACCTACTGTCACTCATTGAAGCATAACATATGCGTACGGAGAGCAATGAAAGATCGGCGACTAGAATTGAAGAAGACACTTTCTTGGCTATACTTTATATATATTTTTTGATGAATTCCAAGTCTGGATGAAGGAGTTATAGACATTTGAAGACAGCACATGTAATTCAAAGGCAGTAAGTGAGTCATTTTGTTGATAGTAATGGTTGGAGCCATATGTTGAGTTCCTAGGCGAATTTTTGGCTCAAAAAGAGAAAATTTTAATTGCCCAAAAAGAGAAAATTTTATATGTATAAACTTGGTTTTTTATATCTTAGACTTAATTGAGTATTTAGTGGCAACCAAAAGCCCAGCGCTTTCTTGAGGCAAACTCTCTCTACCCCGACAACATGAAATACAGGATGGATCTTTATAGAATTTGGTAAATGTAATTGATAGGCAACATGATTGATTTGTTCAAAAATAGGAAAAGGTCCTAGCCTATGATAATCTAATTTATCACAACGATGAGTAGTCTTGATATTATGACAAAGTAACCATACCTTGTCACCCATATTATATTATGGTTGCTCGTTGCAATAGGCATCCTCATTGGACTTTTGTCGTTCTTGAGCTTCTTTTAATTATATCTTCTTTGTTGTATATAGCTCTAATAAGCGGTTTGCTAAATCTTCCATCTTAGGATTATCAACTTTTGAAAAGTTAGAAGTATCAAGCTGTGGATGATAACCATAATTGGTAAAGAAAGGTGTTTATTGAGTGGAAGAATGTACCGAATTATTATATGCAAACTCTGCCAATGGTAAAAGAGTTGTTCAATCATCTTAATGATAGTTGATGGTACATCTCAAATATTGCTCCAGAACTTGATTTATCCATTCCGTTTGTCCATCAGTTTGAGGATAAAAAGCTGAAGAAAGCTTTACATCTACCTTTAAAAGCTTGAATAGGGTTCTTCATAATCTTAATACAAATTG